ACCGAACCGAACCAACCGAATAAAATATTGAGTTTTTTGGTTCGGATTCCGGTTCAACCGAATTAATACAACTCTCACAATTCAGATTTCAGATGATGTGATGAAATGATGATATTTCATTAACCTGATACATTCAAGTTTCAAAATCAAGGTTCAAATCACAACAAAATAGAAAATTCAAGTTTCTACGAATATTTATTTTCGAATCCCTTATAATCAAGATGAATCAAAGGCCTTAATAAAAAAATTTTTTTTTTTTAAAAAGGAAAAATTTCCACCCACCGTGAGATCTTAGATCTACCAGATTACCCATGGGAACTCTTTTTAAAAAATCCCATCTCAACTACCATTTCCGGCTTAGAAGCCTTACCATTTGGTCGGGAAAATAACCCAACAAAAAACTCAATCAATCACTTCCCCACATTGCTGCTCAAGTTCCAACCATTACTTCCCCGCACTGGCGTTGCCGCATCGGCACACTGGAAGCCAAAAAGAAGAAAAGAACGGAAGAAAAATTATAGGATCAGAGTGGTATTCATTCAATTACTTCTCCAAATCACCCATCCGTTCTCACTTTCAAAATCTCACCATCATCTTCTAAAGTTCTCAGATCTGAAAGTGGAATTTTATTTTTTTTTTTGAAAGAGATGAAGGGATTGGTGATGGAATTGGTAGATTATGGAGGTGGAAAGTTGGAGATGGAGTCTTGGAGTTGGGAGTCTAGAGTTGCGGCGATGGGCGACGGCAGGCTGAAGAACGAGAGAGTGAGAGATGGGGAGAGCAAGATAGAATGGGAAGTGGGGTGGGAAAAAAAAAAAAAAGAAAAACCCTAATCTCTCTTGTAAACAATACTATATATATGTATATAAAATAGATTAAAAAATAATAATACTTAAGCGGGTTTTCGGGCGGTCCCCGAAAAAAATGTTTCTAAACCGCATCTGCACCGAAATTTCTATGCGGTTCTTCGGGTGCACCCGTAATTCCCTGATTTGCCCGATTAATCGACCCATTCAACCCAAATCGGGTTCGGTTCGGACGGGTTCTCGGGTTCACCCGGTTTACTGACACCCCTAGCGAAATACATACATGTTCAATAGTAACAATTCACTGTTCGTGTTAGTATATTTTGAGTGTAACAACTATCATTTACATGTTCAAATAATCAATTTTATATATCAACCGTGCAAGTACGGGCATATTACTAGTAATATATAAAGATGAAAGCATAGAAATCAAATATTGAAAAAATAAATGGGCTGCTAAGCCAGAGAATTCATGAAGAATGGATTAAACCAGAGAGGTGGGGCTGGGGAAGCACTAGACTTGGAGTTTGAATTTTGATTTTTAGTAGATTTTTAGTACGTGTTAGAATGAAATTTGAAAATCTAACAAGGAGTAAGAAAATGTGAGTGCAACAATTATTACGAGTTTTTGACCTAAACAATTTTCTTTAAAAAAAGGTAGACCAAATTAATTTTTTTGAAATTTTTGTGGACAAATCTATATCCTTCGGATTTCAAAAATCCGAATCCGGGGTAAACTCGGATTTCGGAAATCCGAATTTAATAGAAAACGGATTTTGAAAATCCGAGTTCATTTTAATTAAAACTAAAACTAAGTAAAATTTTCATCTGTCATAATTAATCATAATTCGGATTTCTGAAATCCGACTTTATGATTAAAATATTAATTTTTGAGGAAAATTTTTTTTTGTACAAGTGTTGGTAATTTTTTGAACACGAATCGAATTTCCGAAATCCGAATCTTCCATGTTTCCCTGATAAACTCGGATTCTAGAAATCCGAACCTAAACCCTAAACCCTAAATCCGAGTATATGTTACACTCGGATTTTGGTAATCCGAGTATATGTTGCACTCAGATTTTGGTAATCCGTTTATAGGTTACACTCGGAGTTTGGTAATCCGAGTATAAGTAACACTCGGATTTGGGAAATCCGAAGTTAAACCCTAAACCCTATGGCCTTATTTTGAAAATTTAATTTTTTACTTGACTCAGATTCTGAAAATGCGAATATTTGCTTAAAAGGTACATAACAGTAGTACATATAGATTATAACTGAATTAATGATAATATTTAATAACTAACAGATTTAATAATAATAAATAACAGTAATACCACTTATGTATAATGAGTATTAGTATTAATGTACTACATAATACTAGTACGTACAAATAATACATAACACTAATACAGATGAATTATATTGAATTAATGATAATATCTAATAACTAATGGATTTAACAATAATAAGTAACACTAGTACCAGTAATGTATAATGGATAATAGTATTAATGTATTACATAATACTAGTACATACAAATAGTACATAACACTAATACAGATAAATTATACTAAATTAATGATAATATCTAATAAAGAATAGATGTAATAGTAATAAGTAACACTAGTACTAGTAATGTATAATGGATAATAGTATTAATGTATTACATAATACTAGTACGTACAACTAGTACATAACACTAATACAGATAAATTATACTAAATTAATGATAATATCTAATAACTAATAGATGTAACGGTAATAAGTAACACTAGTACCAGTAATGTATAATGGGTAATAGTATTAATGTGTTACATAATACTAGTACGTATAAATAATACACAACACTAATACAGATAAATTATACTGAATTTATGATAATATCTAATAACTAATAGATGTAACGGTAATAAGTAACACTAGTACCAGTAATGTATAATGAGTAATAGTATTAATGTGTTACATAATACTAGTACGTATAAATAATACACAACACTAATACAGATAAGTTATACTGAATTTATGATAATATCTAATAACTAATAGATTTAACAGTAATAAGTAACACTAGTACCAATAATGATAGGTATTAGTATTAATGTACTACATAATAATGAGTAATAATATTAATGTACTACATAATACTAGTACATACAATAATATATAACACTAATACATGTAACCGGATTACGGTATTCCAGTTCTTTGATTTCAAAAATTTCGCGCCTTGATTTTATTTTATTTTATTTTTTCTTTTTGAGAACTCGGATTTCGGAAATCCGAGTACTACTGTTTATTTAATCTTTATTTCAGTTCAAATATTTTGCGCCTCAATTTATTATTTTTTAATGGGACTCGGATTACGCAAATCCGAACGGCATTGTTCATGTAAGATTTTTTTAAAAATATTATTCAACAAAATTTATTTAATTATTATTTTATTATTAAATGTAGATTCGGATTTCGGAAATCCGAGTTCTCAATTAATTATAACTCAGATTTCGGAAATCCGTGGGATATATTCCTGTCCACAAATATTCTGAAAAATTTAAATTTGTCCACCTTTGTTTTAATTAAATTTTTTAGGGAAAAGACCCCAATTATTACGAGGATATGAGGGTTTAACAGTGAAAATACAGGTGGTATGACCGGACCACTGATAATGACGTCTTCCCTCACTCCCCAGTCACTACGTTAATACTATTGAGATAGACAGGATGTCTGCTATGCTTCTTTTTCCGCGCCCATCTAGTGCTTCACTAACCTAGTTGACTGATTGACCTCGACGTAACTCACACGTTACAAATTCGTTTCAGGACTATCCAACCAAATGCCCCTGGCAAATTAATATTCAATCACTCGTATCATTTTCAATCCCAATTTGGAAGCTTCCGTCTATATTAATTTTGAAAAGAAAATTCAACTTGCGAATTACTCCGTACTTAATTGTTTATTGTCATTTATTTATTTATTTTATCTTTGAAAGTGGAAACCAACACTAAGTAACTAAGTATTATTAATCAATAACTAGTTAGATCCTACGCGGTTCATGCGTGCCTGATAAATAACATAATTTAATGAGTGTAAATGCAAAAATAAATCATAAAAAAACTCTTCACGCTTGTAAATCATAATCCACATTTTATTATATGAACAAATTTTTAAAAGAGACTAATCTTTGAAGCACTTGATTAGAAAACTCAACCATCAATTCATATGCGTGCATAGTATTACACATTATCAAAAATAAATTTACATGAACTAAACAATGACATTACATGTTTTCAAAGTCTAAGTTATTTTCAGTAGGAATTACGTACGATTCTTATTTACAAAGTTAATTTAATCCGAACACAAAGTTACCCATTATAAACGGATCTCTCTACTTAAGAAAGTCATATAAAACACCATTAGAAGAGATCATGTTGACCTGGGCAATAAGAATAAAGAAACACAATAAGATTAATTTCTTTATTTTAAAAACAACTGAATAAAAAAAAAAACAGAGAACAAAGCTGAAGTATAAACTAACCAGCTATAATTTATCTTTCCTGGTGGGAGAAGGAAGGGGACTCAGGGTTGAGGGAGATCGATTTTAGGGAGAAAGAAAATAGAGAGCACCAACTAATGCAGGTATTGCATCTTCTGTATTTAAAGAGAAATCCATCAATAAATTAACATTGAAACACACCTATATTTTTTTGATTTCTTTTAAACTTATATCATTAAAATTATTAAACTTATTATTAAAGCCATTAGATTTTAAGATTAAGAATATGAAGATGTTGGCCTATGAACTCTCCTTCATTGCTGTTGATTAGAATAATAATCAAGAATAATTAATTAGTATTAATTGAAATTAATCAAATATTATCATTTTATTTTTTCTTTTTTTCATAAGTTACTCCAATATATATACTATCGAACTTTGTCCAAACTCACTTTTTATATTATATATGTCGATGAGAAGGAATATTAAGTGGGGCGTGGGGAAGCCACTCATCACAACGAACGCCTAACACGTCTCTACCTGTGGTGTAGAGATTGCAACAAAGCATTCTAGAGTCCATCTTTAGCAACAATCTCTCTATCAGCTTAACATAAATATCACCTTCTATTTATGAACCAATAAAGCTAATTAACTTTCGGACTAGTTATATTTTTTTTTCTTTATCTCTGTTTTTTTTTCTTCTTATCTCTGCTAATTATTTATCAACCATGGGATAATATTGAGTTTAATAATGTAATTCTCCTTAATATAGATATACATAAGATCAAAAGAAAATCATGCATTGATTAGTTCCGATTCCATATAATCAACCAAATTTCTTTCTTTTCAACTGTACTCATTGACGCGGGCAGACGTCAAATGGACGTTGGCTATTTATGAAGCCCATTTCCCTCTGAAAACTTGCACACCAACCAAAGGATGATGACGATGTCCAACATTGTCCAAAAGCATTTCCCTCTTTCAATATTACTTATTCTGTTGTCATGGTTTCTCACAGTTTGCTTAGCTAAGACCGGAAACATCACCAGCGATGAGCTTGCTCTTTTTGCACTAAAAGCCCGAATCACGGAGTTACCCACTCATCACGTATTGGCCGAAAACTGGACGACGACCGGAGGTTCGTCGTCTGTTTGCGACTGGGTTGGGGTCACTTGTGGATCTCGGCATCTCAGGGTGACCGCCTTGAATATTTCCGGCATGAACCTCGCCGGCACCATTCCTCCCCAGCTCGGGAATCTATCATTCCTCGTTTCCCTCGATGCGAGAAAAAACAGTTTCACCGGAGGATTGCCCAATGAGTTTGGCGGGTTCCGTCGGCTTAAACTGCTTGATTTGGGATCCAACAGTTTCAGTGGAGAACTTCCACCGTGGATTGGTTCATTTCAGGGACTTGAATTCTTGTCCCTCTGGAACAACAGCTTCACTGGTGTTATCCCACCGTCGATCTTTAACCTGTCCAAGTTAACCAGGTTAAGTCTTTCCTATAATAACCTGCAGGGAAATCTTCCGATGGAAATCTTCAACATGTCCTCCCTGGAAAGGATTGATATGGCCGGAAACGGGTTTTCAGCTGGTACGCTTCCCCATGATATGTGCCGCCATCTTCCCAGACTCAATTATCTTGGTTTTAATAACATGAGATTAGTTGGTCAAATCCCATCTAGCATAGCCCAATGCTTACAGCTTCAACGGCTTTTCCTTTATTCAAACTCACTTACTGGAGAGATACCAAAAGAAATTGCAAACTTGAAGGGACTCGACGTGTTATCTCTTAGAAGGAACAGTCTGGAAGGTACGTACGCAATATCGCTGTCATTTTGGTGTCGAACTTTATTCCTTTAATTTCTTTTAATCCGTCGTGAATAAGTAGAAAATGTGTTAATTTTGCACTACTCCGTTATTTCATTGCTGAAAACGATAGATTAAAAAAAAAAAAAAATCCATTGGGAGTGAAATTCTGCTTCATGTCTCTTCTTATTACAGAAATGATAGAGACACTGACAATTTATAGTGAAATGAGATATTAACTAATGAAAAGTCAAAAACACAAATCCCACTAAACATGTATACTTATTAATTAAGGTAAAAATATGATTTTAGTAGAAAATAAAATTTCAACGGGAAATTGACAAAAAAAAAAAAAACGGTCAAATTTTTTCTCACTATACTTATCATTTTCCTTAAAAACTCTACTTCAATATATATACCAGATTTTTCTTCATGTGTTGCACAGAATATGATAAAATATAGTATTACATTAATACTTTGCGGTACAAAATTTAACTAGGTTGCAAATCAAAATTTTATTCTCTCTGGTAGTTATTTGAATAAGATTAACACAAGAGTCACTGAATTTAAATATAAAGAAAAAAATTTCTTTTGAGATTTTTTTTATAATTTAAACCGTAGAGTTTAAACATCTTTTGCCAATATTAATTGTGGGAAGGCGGTTATTTTTCTTACTGGTGAAAAAACGTCATATGAGAAAGCAGATATATTATTAAAAGTTTTCTCACGAACAATTTTTTTGTTAAAAATGAATTTTTAATATTTAAGTTAGGGGATTTTTTTTTAAAAAAAATATAAACTACATAGTATTGAATTGATATGTTTTAAGTAGGAAAATTTCAATTATAGTGTGATATGTATCTTTCATTTTAATAACAAAATATAAATTTATTTTTAATTAAAATGACGTAGTTTTGTTTTGGAGGGAAAACATTTCATGAGAGCGCGGCACTTCATCAAATTTTCTCACTTGGACTTCTGTTTTGATAGGGTACTAGTGTTGAGCATCCGCCGCGCGTTGCGCAACGCATTCTATAAATAATTTGTTGTCTTTATTTTAGTTTTCAAAGAAATTTGTTTTGGTTTATTGAAAGAATAACCGATAAACTAATTGTGTAGAGTGATAAGAGAAAATTATAGCGATTACAATTAGATACTAAATAAAAATGATGAGTAAGATGAATCTATTTATTTAATTGTATCCAGTTATTGCAAATTCTCATATATCTTTGAACACCACATTCCGAGTTTTTGTCTTCTTAACAATGTCTTCTGACGTCGGCTGTCCATGAGAAAAGACCGGCTCACGTGAGTATAACATTATCAAATATACCTCTTTTTGAGTAAGAAAGTCATCAAAGAACCATACTACTTCATCAAAAAGTATTGAACCATAGTCAGATATCTCACACCACTTTGCCCTTTACATCTTCTGCAAACTTCCTGCCTTAGTTTTAAAATACGAGAGGCGTACCGAGGCGACAAGGGGCTCGAGAGTCGAGGCGAGAGGCGAAAGCGAACGCATTACGTATGTGAGGCGACCTCTTCTACAAAACATTATAATATATATATTTATATATATATGTGATATAATATAGTGAACTATATATGTAATTTCAATTATAGATGACAATTCTAGATAATAATATCCATGTCATTCAACAAAAATTTCAGAAAATAACATCATGCATAGTAAAAGACAAGCAAAAACTAAAAACATAAAAGAAAGCAAGCATATGACATTGTTATCTAATGTTCCTAGTCTCTCCCTTAGGTTCTAAAAGTCCTCTTCCTCCTCCTCTTCCACATCATAGATCAAATTATCATTTCCCTCTTCTTCAGCCGAAGACATACCAATGTCTTCCTCCGCGCCTTTAATGTCTTCATCAATTGGAAACATACGAGATTGCTTTGAACCCGAACCTGAAGTTGAAACATTTTTTCCTTTATTGTTCTTTGATGTACTTGACTCCTCATTACTCATTCTTGGAGTTCTAAGGAGAAAAGAAGGCTCCTCTGCTCCAGAAGCTTTACTCACTGCACCCCATGTCAAATTACCATCATCAAACACAAAATCATCATCCTCTTCTCCATTCTCCTCCATTAACCACTCATTGCTATCATCAATTTCATTCAACATAATGGGGTCAATCGTGTCCTTTAATTGATAACGCCGTAGTAAAGCACGATTGGCTTTCACAAATAACATATCATTTAAACGGCTTTGATCCAACCTATTTCTCTTCTTGGTATGCAACTGTGAAAAAAATAATAAATTAACTAATTCAAGAATCAAGATATGAGTACTAAAAGGAGATTTAAAAATATTACTATCATATGCATTATCCACTTACAAGTTGAAAGACACCCCAATTTCTCTCACAACTTATAGCACTACAAGGCTAAGAACGTGCACAACAAACTTCCTCAAATTAGAAGCAGAAGATCTATATGACATCCACCACTCCGCTAATAAGTAACAAAAAAAATAATTAAATTTAACTAACATGTATAAAATATAATCACTTATTTATATATAAATTTTATTTACCTGGAGATTTCATTTTTCTTTGTCTAATAGCCATAGGATGTCCAAAGAGATCGGAAGCATTTTGATATTCACTTAATTCTTTCCCAATCTTGTCTTGAGTGGCAATATCCGGGACCAACCTTTCAATGCAATTATATAAACCTTGAACAACTTCAACACAATCTCCCAAATTCGGATTATCATAAAAGACTTCCAGGTTTAGGTAATAACCCGCGGCATGCAAAAGTTTATGCAATTTGCATTCCCATCTACGATCAATCATCTCAAACACTTTTGTACTCATCCTCTTTATTACCAAAACTTTTAGCAATTGCGTCTTTAGCTCTATCCATGGCCTCATAAATGTATCCATGGGTGGTTTTTTCTCACCATCAACCATCCGAAGTACCTTCACTAAAGGGCTTGTTAATTTAAGAGCATAAAGAATACCCCTCCAAAAACTATCTTGCAAAATATATTGTGAAATTTTCTTACCACCCGATTCTTTTGACCAATTGCTACTACTCCAGTCTTGTGAAGTGATCATTTTTTTCAAATTATTTCTTTGCTTGTGCATTTGAGAAAGAGTAATAAAAGAGGTTGCAAACCTAGCAATTGCGGGCCTATGCAAATTTCTTTGATTTGTGTACCTTCTCATCATGTTCACAATACCAATATGGTTATTGTATATATAACCATTGATGAACATTGCTTTCTTCAAAGCCAACTTCACCTTAGGTATTTTTGAGCCGATATCTTCTAACATGAGATCAATGCAATGTGCCGCACACGGAGTCCAATATAAATGTGGCCTCTTAGCTTCAAGTAATTTTCCTATAAAAATCATAACAAAAAAATAAATTGACAAGATCAATATTCAATAAACAAGAAATGAAAAAAAAAAAAAACTCATCAATAAAGTAAGATTTTTCCGGCTTTAACATAGTTAGATGCATTGTCTCTTGAATCAACAAATTTTCCTGAAATCAAATAAACAGTGAAAATTTCAGACAAAAAGAGCTACAATATAGCTAGTGAAAAGCTTACGAATAAAAGAGCTACCATCGACAACATTCTGACTGGAACCTTAGTTAAAAGGTTACTTAGCGCACAGATTTAGGACTCGCCATCAAGCTGTTCAACGGCCTTCTCAGCCTCATCTGGTACTTATACCTTACAAAAGCAAATCCTCTCGAGTCACCAGTACTGATAATTGCATGGATAACATGAGGAGTCAGTAGACCATCAGACAGTCACCACACCAAGACAACCCTCACATTAAACACAAATAGTAGAACGGAAAACCCCATGTGCATATTACTCATCCAAGAAACAAAAGTTTGAATTAATCAAGGAGAAACTAAACTGGTACACGTTAATCGATTGGAGTACTGAGGAGAAAACAACTACACTTTGTGCCTCAAACAAACAACAATTATCCGACTAAAAAAAGCACTTTTGAAAAAACAATCATCAGCCAACAAATTCATAAGAATGGCCATCGTCGGTCATAGGTTTGAACAGCAAAACAATTGAAATTGTTTCGATTCGCTGCTATTGTTTCAATCACAAAGAGGGGATGCCAATTAGCCAATTAAGAAAAACCAAGCATGAGGCACGGGAAAACACACAGATGAATCCTAAATATGTCCAAACAAGAACAACTCACGGGACCCAAAATTGAAAACAATGTCAATGACCCCTTAGAAAATTATCCATACTTCCTTAAGTCTGCATGATTTGAAGCTGGGATCTAATATTGAGACTTTGAATTTGAAATAATGAACAAAATTCAGTATGCACAATCTATTACTATTATTTAACAAAAAAAGGAAATTACCTGAAAATTCAGCGGTCAAAGAACAGAGACCACCACTATTCCCACCACCATGCACGCCACCTCAAGCTTTCACTCCTACGACCACTGGCGGCGGATAGGGTTTGCAAAGGAGGGAGGAAAACAATGAGGAGATTTTGGAGGCTGAACGACCGCGCGACACACGAGATACTGCACTTCTTAAAAAAAAACTCGCGGGTCATTCGCGGGTCGTCTTATAACCCGGAATTACCCGCGAGTTTTTTTTTAAAGAAGCGCACTATCTCGCGCATTGCGCGGACGTTCAACAGTCAAAAAAATAAAATGACTATTTCTGAAATTACTGTCGTGCTCCTAATTAAAAAAAAAGATTGTCCAGCCAATCATATTTGAGGAATAAACCCATCCAGCCAATCATATTTTAAGAATTTTTTTACTCACCCAGACTTTTATCTTTATGCTATAGATAATGATAGACTGTTCCTTATTTCATGGATTACTCATTTAATTCTAGGTCAAATTTTTGTAGGTTCAATTCCAAAAGAAATTGGAAATATGTCAAAGCTGCAGTGGTTGTACGTAGACGATAACAACCTAACAGGTAAGTAATAAAGTGCTTCTCTGTAACAAAGTTATTGTTCATTTTAAATTTTTATTTTTATATTTGAAATGATAATTCCACGTGAACTATAAATACTTTTTCACAGATCCAAAGATTTGCACATGCATGGAATATTGGCTTTAAAGTATTAAAGGACCAAAGTTACAAATCCAAAATAGCCTCAAATGCATAAATGAGTCTGGAATATTGATTCTGTTTTAAAATAATTGTCTGGTTTGTAAGAGTAAATCTTATTATATATTTTTTTTTGTTAAAAAAATAAAAATCACATTTATTTTGTGTATGAAGTAAAATTATACTTTTTTTATACGTAAAACAGACAATCAGGTGAGAATCTGCAGTAATCAATTGTATTCTATTAAAATAAAAGTCAAAGAGAGATAAAGTGATGAGTGGTCGTGCTCTCATTAAATGTTTTCCCATCAAAACAAAGTTACGTGGTATTTGTTAAAATTAAATTTATATTTTATTATTAAAATAACTATTAAAGAGAAAATAAAATATACATATCATACTAAAAATAAAAAATTTTCTGCCTGAAAAAATCAAGTCAATATTGCATAGTTTTTTTTTAAAAAAAAAAACCTCTAACTAAATACAATAAAAATTAGCTTTTACTGATAAATTTATAAAAAAAAAAAAACACAAAGTAAAACATTGTTCTTAAATTCAAATTTAGTTTGGCCGCATATGGGATTTGATAGGGTTAACTTGTTTAGTTTGACCGTGGAATCTTTTTAAGGGTAATTTAATCATTTCTTTCGAATATAATTTTAACTTTCTGAAAATAGACTACTTTTTTTTACAAATTTTTTTTATCAAACTGAATTATTTTTTTTGGATAGAGGAAGTAATAAAAGTACAAATTGCATTTTTTTATAAGTTATTTTCTCTTCGAGCTGAGTTTATTTTTATTCATATTCGTTAGCAATTCATTGGTCCAACAACCCCCATATGTAGCTATCGGTTGGTTGAAAAGTCATGACAAACTTTAATTTATTTTAGGCGTTATACCTGAAGAGATAGGCAAGTTATCAAATCTTAAAGAAATCTTATTTGGGGGCAACAAGTTAGCTGGTTCCATTCCAGCAGATATCTTCAATATCTCCACTTTAAAACAGATGGATTTTGGAGGAAATAAGCTATTGGGCGATCTTCCGTCAACCATGTGTTACAACCTTCCTAATTTAAAAGTATTTTATATCGGCGTCAATAGTATTGGTGGACTCATACCCAACTCAATCTCAAATTGTTCACAACTGCTAAAAGTCGATTTTGCAGATAACAATTTCAGAGGTTACATTCCTGACTCCTTCGGAGACCTTAGCTTACTTCAACGTCTGTTTCTCCATGATAACAATTTAATCAGTGATCCTTCGACTCATGTTTTGAAATTCATCACCTCATTGGTTAGTTGTAAATATTTGAAAGAAATCAATGTACAAGACAATCCCTTGAATGGCCTTTTGCCTGATTCGGTTGGAAACCTTTCTTCCTCACTTGAAATGTTGTCTGCTTCCAATTGTCAAATCAAGGGTATCATTCCAAGCGGGATTGGAAATTTAAGCAACTTAAACACGTTTCTCCTCCATGACAATCAGTTGATTGGGTCACTTCCAGATTCAATAAAACGCTTGCAGAATCTTCAAGTTGCACTTCTTCAGAGAAATAAAATGAGTATTTCTCTGCAACTATTTTGTGCTAATCGGGAACTTGGATATTTAATGGTTCAAAGGAATCTTATTATCGGGGGCTCAATTCCAGATTGTTTTGAAAACATCACGTCTATGAGATATCTTCACCTTGGCTCCAGCGGATTACACTCTAGCATACCTGCAAGTTTTTGGAACCTCAAGGACATATTAATGCTGGACCTTTCTTCCAATTCGTTAGCTGGTACTCTACCCCCTGAACTCGGTAATTTGAAAGTTGCAACTCTGCTGAATTTTTCAAGCAATAACTTCACAGGTGGCATTCCTAGTACTATTGGAGATCTAATGAGCCTGCAGAATCTCTCTTTATCTCACAATCAGTTGCAAGGTCCAATCCCGGAGATAATCGGTAAAATGTTGAGTTTGGAACAATTAGATCTTTCGTACAATTCTTTATCTGGTTCCCTTCCACTGTCATTTGAAAATCTTTTAGGCCTTACTTCCTTCAATGTCTCCTTCAACAATTTGAGTGGCGAAATTCCTTCGCGGGGCCTTTTCGCAAATTTGACAGCTGAATCCTTCATTTCGAGTGGAGCACTATGTGGACCTCCAAGATTTCATGTCCTACCATGTCCAAATCTTTCATCTCATCACCGGAAAAGAATCATATTTATGCACAAAATTGTAATAGTTTTGGTTCTAATGATATCAACATCCAGCATCACATGCTTGGGACTCATTTACCTAAAATACAGAAGGAAAGCTAAAAGTGAGAATATTGATCAAGAGGGTTCAGTTTTGGTTGCACATGAGAGAATATCATATTACCAACTTCTACGAGCTACAGAGGGATATAGCCAGAATAACTTATTGGGTACCGGAAATTTTGGATCTGTTTACAAAGGTACTCTTGAGGATGGTAGGGTTGTAGCTGTTAAATCGTTCAAATCGCAGCTTGAAGGATCAATCATTAGCTTCAACAGAGAATGTGAGGTATTGCGCAACCTTCGCCATCGAAACTTAACAAAAGTCATTAGCAGTTGTGTTAATCTCGACTTTAAGGCATTGGTTCTTGAGTACATGCCCAATGGAAGTCTTGATATATGGTTGCATTCAAATAAACATTTTCTCAATCTTAAGCAACGGTTGGACATTCTAATAGATGTGGCTTGTGCTCTACAATATCTTCATTGTGGCTATTTGAATCTGGTTGTCCACTGTGATCTAAAGCCTAGTAATGTACTGCTAGATGAAGAAATGGTTGCCCATGTAAGTGATTTTGGTATTGCAAAATTGTTGGGTCAGGAAGATAGCATCACACACACCCAAACTCTTGCCACACTTGGCTATATTGCCCCAGGTGAGGTTTTTCATTCCTTGTTTTCTGTTTTTGAAGTTGCAAGATTTCTTGTGATGCTGTTCAGTATTAATTAGTTAATAATTTAACTCTTATAGAGTATGCTTTGGATGGGTTGGTATCAACGAGATGTGATGTCTACAGTTTTGGAATCATGATGATGGAAGTCTTCACAGGAAAGAGTCCTAGCGATGAAATGTTTGGAGCAAATTTGAGCTTAAGGAGTTGGGTTCACGAGTCTATGCCTGATAGACTCGCTAATGTTATCGATGTTGATTTGTTATCCACATTCAATGATCACTGTCCTGAAATACTTTCCAGCATTGTATCAATCATGGATGTAGCTCAGACTTGTACAAATAATTTTCCACGGGAGAGAAGCAATGTAGAAGAAGTTCTCGCAAGATTGAATAAAATCAAACTTCAACTACAACCCTACATAAATGGCTTTGGAGGTGAATATTCTTTTAAGAATTTTGTTTTTCTTTGAATCAATATGCGACATCCATCGCTACTTTTTATGTCAGTAACTTAATTTGGTTGATTTCTTTACTTACAGGAGATCTTGACAAGTCGAACTAAGAGCACGCTCTCATTCAAACTTGTGCACTAAGACACATGTTTAGAATCTTCAGAAGAGAAAGTAAGTGGGTGAAAGTTTGATGCACATATATCCATTTGAGCATACTTATGAGCTCTTTCTTTTTCTACAGAACAGGAAGTCTCTGCAAAAGATCTGGAGAAAAATTATGGACATTGTTATGTATAACATTGTTATATATTATATTTATACATACATACACATATATATATATATATATATATGGGAGTGACCGTTCCATTTTAGAATAACTAGTCTTTTAGATGTCGCGCGTTGCGCGACAAGTACTTTTTTAAAATCATTTAACTCTATTACGTTAAATATTAGTAATAATTTATCTTAACGCGTAATAGTTGTAGATACATGCTTTTATAGGACTTTGTTAAGTATACTTCTTTTGATGGGATTATTACGTTGCTTATCCTAATACACAGTATCCCACAAAATGATTAAGAAATTTATCAAAAAGCAAGGAAACAAAGTAGAAGATCAAATTGATACTTGTGTAATATATCATGTTTTTCCATGAAAGTGTTGGAAAAGGTAGATTTATTTATTTTAATTTTGTGTTCTTTCAATTTTTATTTTTATTTATTTCGGTAATATGGTCTTTCAATTTCAATTTTGACGCATGGATAATTTTTTTGCAAAGTTAGAGGGTGTGAGTAACTTTAGATAAAATTAGTCAAAAAGTCAAAAACTAAAATTTACTTTTGATAGCTTTTGTTCTATCACTATTAGCAATCTACCTGAGAGACTGTAACTTCTTCAGTCAAAGAAAGTTGGTAATGTTGCATAAGTTACCTCAATGACGGGGAACAGATGACTATTTTTCAATAGCAATAATAAACTTTTAACTCAAACATCGTATCTAAAGTGAGGGCCAAAATTGTTGGACTTGTAGTATTTCACAAATAAAAACAGAACAAAAAACTAAGGGGACTATTAAGTTACTTATCACAACTCAATTCTCAGACACAGAAAGTTGTCAAATCTCATCCTAGCCAAGCTCTCAGTTATTTTATCAGGTTGTTGTTTCAAGCTGGAGGCAAGAAGCTTCAAGTACTCAGCAGGGGATAGTACCAATATCACTTGGCCTCCTTTTTACTTGCCAAACTCTAGATTGTTATATCACGGCCAAGAACATGTACTTTCCCAAAGGCAATATTTTTATCATCTAACATAGTGCATTAGCGCACTGATGTTCTCGAACTGCTTTTGAATCTACTACTTTAGTACACATCTACTTTAGCCTTGCCACAACTTAGTTTCACCAAACGGAAGTGGACAGAGAGCTAGAAGTTTTGGATTGTAAAGCAGGTAGCGGATCGAGGACCGTGATGATCCTTATTAAATTCCCAGTAGCTCAAATAACAAAAAGAAACGTAAAATACAAATTCTTGAGACAATCATATATCGGAATCTGCAGACAGAGGAAACCATAAACATTTAGTAATATTATAACTTAGAGATTGTAAGTTCTTCAGTAAAAACAAAAAAGATCACATGAAATAACAATAGAATACCGCAATGCAGTCTATTTCTAGATTCTGCTAAAGCAGCAACTTGGACATTGCTACCAGTTCACTTGGCAGAGAAAGTTGAACTTTTCTTTTAACAAAAGGACAAGCAGATCATACCAATGATGCAAAACACAGGTACCCAAAACCTTAAGTACTATACCATTCAAAAACTATACTGGACAATTGAGTGATCAAAGATTTACTTCATTGATAGGCATGTTAAAAGTTATATAGTGTGTGAGGAAGAAAAGTTCCAATAAATAACCGACATAGAAGCCTCATCTATGGTAATCTCAAAATAAAACTCACGTTAGCAGAAGAGGAATAACATCCAATGACGATATCAAATTTATTTATGCACAGAAAATATCTAACTGAACTATAAGAACCATAAATGGATCACTATAAAGTCCTATGACTTGTTGAATAAACTGTATGAGGAATTAATCATTGAAACTCAGGCACAAGTTTTGATATGAGAAACTTATCCTAATTAGTTATCTATCAGCTAAAAGGTATCGGCTATGAGTGTTATCATTAGTGGTGCTGAAAGATAGCTGAAGAACATCAAGAATCACATGCACAATGTAAAACCCACAAAAGAGCTCAATGCCTGGAAAAGTTGATGTATATATTTATCTACCTTGAGCAATAATATAGTTCACCTGTATATACACCGGTCTAGAAAGGTAAAGCTAATCCCACAAAATCAGAACATGACAAAATCTATTTTTAACACATAATTTTTCCTCTCCAAGATCCTCTGACTGAATCTCATGCCACAAGTCAAAACTTTTTCGGCTTCCTCTCATCTAACTATGATCTACCTCTAGAGAATAATATAACTCCTTAAAAACGTTCTCCCAAGGACAAGCATAAATTATTCTAGAAGTCAGAACATAAATTGTTTCTAGTGACAACAATAAGTGAACAAACCCATGATAATCAAATTTCGGATATAGAGTCATTGTGATTAGAGTTTTTTCTAAAAAATATTCCAAACATCCTACACCATCAGGCCCTTTAATTGTAGGGAAAAGAAATTAGAAACATATACCTTACCCTTGTGCTAATATCCTGTGAGAGAAGGGGACTTTATGTAATTCAGATGAAATTGAGTCTGCAACTCGAACCATTGCGATATCTGTTTCCAAGACAGTCTATTAGTTTCCAAACCATTAAAATAATCAACAAACTCGCTCAATTAACAACAAATTCACAACTTCAAAACCGGAAAAAATAAGGGAATCAAAATTAGTACCTGTTTGTAGGATTTAGAAAAGAACCAAAGAAAAATCTTTACAAATATTCAAGCTTCCCCTACCGTGTAGAGGTAAAAATATAATAGAAATTAAAAGTTAAAAAAAGATTTACGTGAATCAAAGATGAAGAAATCAAAGAAACTGATAAGCTGAAGAAGGAATCCTTTTGTGATCCTAGTTGTGAGGTTGCTAGGGGTTTTTATAGACATGCTGGCCAACAGGGGATTTCTATTCTCATCCCAAAACAAATCCAGAATCAGAGAGGAACTGAATTGCCTATTCATATTACAATTCCAAATTTATGGAAATTTATAAATAAAAATTAAACAGTAATTTGTTAGTTCTATTACACATACAACTCCAAATCAAGTAATAAGGTAATTTCCTAATCCTATTCCGTCCAAACACCTAGTTCCGCCTCGCTTCCTCTGTCATGATGTCCACCGTGATACGATACATGCGGTTGCTCCCCCACGAATTTGATCTCGTACAAGTGAAGGAAGTCATTCTTGCAAAATCTCTTCGACGGGGTGACTCCGGTGGAACTTAGGGTTTTTTGTTTGGTTAAATTTGTGGAGGTGGAATCGGGATGGTACGAATTACAGAAGCATGTTTAAGGAAAATATATCTTCGAGGTTTAGTGGTGGGGGAGGATGCAGAGAGGGATGCGGCAGTGGCGGCTAAATCGACGAAGGGAGACCTGACTGAGTAGGTAGAGCACAGCCTTATGGAGGTTATTAGTGGGAAAAAAATTGGGAACAATGTCGGGGGCTGTTTTGGGATTTTAAACGGTGTGAGTTATTTTTTGTTTTTTTATTTTTTTTCCCTTGAGAAAATCACAAAACGAAGTCGTTTGTTACTGTTTCTTAACCAAAAAGTTTCAGGATTTGTAAATATATTGTTTTCAGGAGTGGGGATTCCAAAGTTAAATCCTGAAACAACATCCTTTTATAGGTTAGGGGTTTGTTTTTTTCAAAAGGTTACGAGTTTTTTTTAGTTGGAATAAACTAAATTTTTGAATTCCCATTTTTGCCCTTAATAAGTCGCTGACATCACATCAACCCCATCCGACGGACAAGATCGATTTGACGGTGGTCCTTGAATATTTCTTGGGTATTATTTCTTGCCTACTGTGCCTTTTATTTAAGTATAAGGATAATCGTAAGATTAATTAAGCTAATTAATAACCGTAAGATTAAAATAAGGGTGCATCATAAGTAAATATACCTAAATTCACCTTATTAAACATAAAAAAGATTTGGTAAGGCAAAAAATATACCGTAAACATCCCTCTTATTATCCACCCCCCCCCCCCTTGTCTGCAGCATAAACAATATGCGCAGAAGAAGAAGAAGAAGAAGAATCGATCCCTCCAAGAAGAAGAAGGGATAGATCCATTTGTATGTTATATCACGGAGACAGTATGTTTCTCTCATGATTGATAAGGTTAATATTAATGTAATAATTATGGTGATTTATGTGTGATTCTCAGTGGTATCTATGCTAATATTGGTGTTTTGTGCTTAATTTGATCATATGAGGTGTTTTGGCCGAAAAGAATGAAAAAGTGTTGATTTTGAAATTTCTAAATCTTTTGTGAAAGAGACTTATGCTCAAGGGCATAAGTGGAGTCGATTTAGCATGTGATCACGTTGATAAAAAAGTTGGGAATTTCAACCAGGGACTAAAGTGCAAAATTAAAAAAAGTTTTACATGGTAAAAATATAATTTCCACAAACTTCAGGGATCATATTGAAATTTCGAGAAACTTGGAGGGCAGCTGCGGTTTTGGACGTATTATTTGCTTATTTCCCAAGTTCTTGGAGTTATAAATTCCTATTCTTTAAGAAAGAGGCAAGCAAATCATTTTCACACTCAAAGAAGGAAGGTTTTCAATAAAAACTCGTGTTCACACTCAAATAAGCGATCTATTCCATGGAAATAATCTTTTACTTGGAGGTTACTCCTATCTCTTAAATAGATTTAATGTTTTGAGTCTATAAGAAGGTCTAGGTTCATTTTCTTGGTAGTTAAGAGGTGAGTTGTTAAAAGAACCAAATTTGAAAATTACCTAATAAAAATAGGAAAAAAGAGTTAAGATACTATTTCTTCTCCTACTTATTAGGAGAGTTTTCAGCCATCCACCCCTATAAATAGAGGAGGACATTCGACTAAACCAACACCAAGAGGGGGGGCGGGGGGGGGGAGGGGGGGAGGGGGAAGAGACGAGGAAGAAAAGAGCAATACAGATGCAACAGTTGGAGATGCGGAAGGGCATATTCCTCTTGGTTTTCTTTTCTATTACCTCTGTAATGTTAATTATCAACTCTTTTGCTATTTATTTCATTGAGATTAGTAACTAAACTCTTTTTCTAGTTGAAGGATTATTGAAACCTTGATTCATAATAATTGTGAGATCTAATTGATCATATCTGTTTTCATATATTCATGAGTATTTGTTTATTTCTTGATTTTAGGGTTTATGATTGGTTTTGTTTGATTGAATAGATAGGCACTATTTAGTTCTTTGAAATTGATCTACAACTATTTAAAATGGCAAATCCGGAATTGTTTGTTAATTTTAATAAGTGGCAATCAACAACTCAGACTGCCTAAGTAAGTAGCTGATGAGTGTTGTGGAAATAAATAATCCAATTTAAATGATCCCGACTGCGTGTTTGTTAATTGGAATTTAGCTCCCGAAAAGTAGGTTGACGAGGT